ATTCCTCCACTACTGCCTTCTTCTATGTTAAATATTTTCCATTGTATCATTTTAATTCCCTTGTCCTTTCTTTTACTAAAATGTTTTTAGGTTTTGTTTTGTTTTTTAAATATGGTTGTCCTGGAGATTAAATAAACATCCTAGTTTATAACAATTTAGTTATAATAATGCCAACTTAGTCTGAAGAGTTTACAAAAACTTCTATATAGTTCCACTCCCTCACCTCTTTTTTGTGCTGTCATACAAATTACAACTTTATATATTGTATGCCCATCAACACAGATTTATAATTATATTTCTCAGTTGTCTTTTAAATCAGAAGAAGAAAGGAGTTAGAAACAGAATATACATTTACACTGTCTTTTATATTTACCTATATACTTCATCAGTGCTCTTTATTTTTTCATGTATATTTGAGTTATTGTCTAGTTTCTTTTCATTTTTGTCTGAAGAGCTTCTTTTAGTATTTCTTGCAGGGTAGGCCTGCTAGCAATAAATTTACTCAATTTTTATTTACCCAGAAATCTCTAAATTTCTCCATCATTTTTAGAGAATAGTTTTGCTGAACATAGAATTTTTGAAGTCTTTTTCTTTCAGTATTTTGAATATTTTAACATGCTACCTCCAGAGTCCATAATTTCTTATGAGAAATGTGCTGTTAATCTTATTAAGGATCACTTTTATGTGATAAGTCATTTCTCTCTTGCTGCTTTCAAGATTTTCTCTGTCTCTGGCTTTTGACAGATTGATCACAATCTGTCTGGCTATGGATCTCTTTGAGTTTACCTTATTTAGAGTATAGCTGAGCTTCTTAAAAGTGTAGATGAATGCTTTTTATCAAATTTGGAATGTCTTTGGTCATTATTTCTTCAAATATTTTTTTCTGCCCCTTTCTCTGCTCTTTTCCTTCCAGGACTCACATTATATTTATGTTGGTATACTTGCTTGTGTCCTATATTTCTATGAGGATCTGCTCATTTTTCTTCATTTTTTTCTTTTTTTCCTTTCTAATTATCCTTAGGCTGAATTATCTCAATTGACTTATCTTCAAGTTCTCTGATTATTTCTTCTGCAAGCTCAAATCTGCTATTGAACCCCTCTAGTGAATTTATCATTTCAGTTATTATGCTTTTCAACTCCAAATTTTCTATTTGGTTCCTTTTTACAATTTCTTTCTCTTTATTGATATTCTTTATTTGATGAGACAGCATTCTTAATACTTTCCTGTATTTCTTTAGACATATTTTTTAGTTCTTTGAACATATTTACAATAGCTGAAAATTTATAAAAGTTTTTGTCTAGTTGGTCCAACTTCTGGGCTTCCTCAGGGACAGTTTCTTTTCTTTTTTTTCCTTCTTGGCAGCTGGAGAGTACAGGGATTGAACACTTGACCTTAACCTTGAGCACCCTTGACCATGCTCTAACCAACTCAGCTAACTGACTTATTCCATTTATATAACATTCTTATCCCTTCCCCACCCCACACAGACAGTTTCTATTGAAACCCACTTCCCAGAGACAGTTTCTATTGAAACTGTTTTCTTGTGTTTGGGCCATACTTTCTTATTTCTTTGTAAGCCTCATAATTTTTGTTTAAAAGTGTACATTTTAAATATGTGACAATTCTGGAAATCAGATTCCCCCACACACCCAAAGTTTGTTGTTGCTGTTGCTGTCTGTTTAGTAACTTTCCTGAACTAATTCTGTAAAGTCTGTATTCTTTGTCATATGTGGCCTCTGAAGTCTCTGCTTGGTTAGCTTAGTCATCAACTAATGACTGGACAGAGATTTCCTTAAATGACTGAACTAACAGATCTTCCAGAATTTGCCAAGGGGATCTTTATGAGTTTTGAGGCATCCTTCAGTGCTCAGGCACGCAGTTTACAACTCTGTCTTAGCCTTTATTTTATTCTTGTACAGCACTTCAGTCAGTCAGGGATGAGAGCTTCAGATATTTTCACGTGTTTCTTGGGCACATGTATAGCTCCATGTATGCATTTGGCCTCCTAGATTCCCAAAAATATATCAGGAACTTTCCAAAGCCCCCTATAGACATCTCATTTCCCAACTATTCCTCTTAAGTTTTTTGGTTAGTTGGTTGTTTGCCCCCAACTGTTATCACTGCCTATCTTAATCTGTCTTGTGTTGCTATAACAGTATACCTGAGACTAGGTAATTTATAATGAACAGAAATTTATTAGCTAACTCACAGTTCTGTAGGCTGGGAAATCAAAAATCAAGATGCCAGCATCTGGCAAGGGCCTTCTTGCTGCATCATAACATAGTAAAAGGCATCATATGGCAAAAGGGCAAAGAGAGGGCAGGATAGAGAAAAAAAGGGAGCCACCTCCCCACTTTTATAACTAATCCATTCCCGCAATAACAAACTTAATCTTGCCATAATGGTATTAATCCATTCACTCCACCCTCATGGCCTAATCACTCTGTTGCATTGGGGATTCAGTTTCCAAAGCTTGCTTTTGGGGGACATATTCAAACTATTGCATTGACTCAAGCAGCTGTGATGTTAACAATTGCCACTGATCATTTTGACAAACATACCTAATGAGATCTGAATCAGGTCAAATAACACAAGCTTCATGAGAGATTTTCTGAGAAACTGCCAGACAGGTCAAATAAAAACAGTTATCTGGAAAATGGGCTTTGGAGGGGGTCATATCCTGCTCTCCACCTCCACAGGTTTTAAGTCACTGCTTTTCACTGTGATTGCTGTGGTTTTCTAGGCTATCATAGTAATGTGTATTAGTCCGTTTCTGATGCTTATAACAGAATATCCAAAACTGGGTAATTTACACTATTTTTCTTTCTTTTTCTTTTTCTTTCTTTCTTTTTTTGGTGGCTGGCTAGTACAGGGTTCAAACCCTGGACCTTGGCATTATTAACACCATGCTGTAACCAACTGAGCTAACCCTGGGTAATTTATAAAGAATGAAATGTATTTCTTACAATTTGGAGGCTGGGAAGTCTAAGATCCAGGAAACACACCTGATGAGGGCCTTCTTGGTGGAAACTCTCTATAGCAAAGCAGGGTGTCACACAGTGAGAAAGGGCTGAGCAAGAGTGAACTAACTTTCTTACACACTCTCCTTATAAAGCCATCAGAACCACACCCACTACTCCATAAATGGATCAATCCACTCAAAAGGGCACAGTCCTCATAATCTAATCACCTTTGAAACAACATAGTTGGATTTCCCACTCTCTTAACACTCTTAAAATGGGGGTCAAATTTCCGATACATGAACTTTCAAGAAACACAACTAATCCCTAGCATACTGGGAGAAAGTATGGGACTAGAGCAAGTTAAAATGCCAAAAATCTTGTTACCAAGATTCAGCTGTTTTTCTTGAATAAACAATCCCCGGATTGCTGCAAGCCTTTGGTTAATTTCCAGAGTTCTAAAAAATCTGATTTTGACAATTATTTCCAGTGTTCTTGTTAATTTTATGGAGGAGAGGATTTTCAGAGATCCTTTTTCTGCCATTCTGGCTGTCTCCCCACTAAATCTTTACATAACTATTTGTTTTACAGATAATTGTCCACAAATCTGAACCCCTCTCCTACTTCACCCTTCTCCAAATGGAGTATATAACTCAGCAGTGAACTCAGATGGAAACTTTTTGGCCGTTTCCACACAACACTATTAAACACCTATTAGGCAAATCAAAATCGTTTAGTGCAGTATTACATATACAAGAAAGTGAATATGTGAGCGTAATTGTGCTTTTTCAATACTTGTCACGTGGGTATTGCCTCTCTCCTTTTACATGACAGGACTCACTGCTGCTACTTCATAAGGCTCCCACTGCACAAATACCCTCTAGTGTTCACTGGTGGGAGAATGGCTGACTCTCACCCTATCCGGAACAGGGGGCACTATTGCTACAAAAGCTCAGGCAATAACTTGAAGACAGTTCAAGTTCCCAAGATTCCAGTTGTCACCAATGACAACATTAATTGGGAATTACAGACAAGAAACTGTAGAAGTTGGAACTGATGTAGAGTTCTTTAGAAGTCCAACTAGTCTATTTCTATTCCATAATCAAATTTTTATAACAGGTCATCTGAATTACAATACCTTATGTAGTATTATTTCTTACCCTCTATCTATGCATTTCACTTAGGGAGAGACCTTACCTTCACTTTAGAGAGGAGGAAACTGAGAGATCTCTTTCAGAGACTTTAGTCCACTCAGCAGGTTTGCAGCAAAGCCAAGACTCTAAAGAGGTCATTGACATTGCCAAAAAATATCCCCCTTCACTCAGTGAACAACAAAGCGTGCGGGAATTCAGCTAACATGAGACTTTTGGAGCTGCAACTGCGCCACTTGAGGATCTGACGAGCAGGTCAGCTGGGAGTCTCTAATTTCCTATCTTTTCTCCACCCCTATTTCTGTAAATTTTCTCCCATCCACCCCTACTTCCCCTTTCCCTCTTCCACCCATTCACCTGCCAACGAAACGGTCTAACTTCCACAGAGCCCAACGATGCCCACTGGAGATGCTTTCGACTAGGTGGAGCCCATTTCAAAATGCAATTGAAGCCTTCACTTGGCAACCTCGACTATCACCCATGCTAGGAGACCAGAAAATACTCCTGTGTCGGGGTGGGCCAGTTTAGCTCACCCGTGCTTTCCGTCGCCCGTCCACAGCGCCGTCTAAATCGCACCAGCATCCCTGACGAGGTCCCCATGGCACTCTTAGACGCGGAAAGACGACCCTGGCGCCGAGTGAGGCTGACTCTAGCCGGCGGAGTGTTTACCAAACCGCGCGGTTGCTTAGCAACGCCACCGGAAGTGACGCCAGCCGTCGCCGGGGAACCAGGAACGCGCCGCTTTTGGCGGTGGGGCTGGGGAGGAGGGTGCGCCTGCGCGGGAAGCTGAGGCTGGGCGGGTGAGTGGGGCGGCCCTCGCGGGCGGACTCTGGGGCGTGGCTGGAGGACCGAACCCCTGGGAGCGGCGCGGACGCCAGGACGGCGGCCGACGCTGGACCCGGGACAGTGAGGATCCCTCGGGTCCCTGCCCGGCCTGCTGCTCATTTCCCCATCGGGCGCGCGCCTCACGGGCTACGACCCCCACCTGGGTCCGGACGCCTACCTTCGGGGTGGACCCGGCAGGTGTGTGAGAGCCTGAGGCCTCGGCTCGGGGTGTGCGGCACACAGATCTCCTCGCGGGTAGAATGTGAAGGGCAGAGCCCTCGCTTGACTATGAAAACCCAGGGATTGGTTGACGTAAAAGCTGTTTTTAAATATTTTGGTTTCTGAGGCATGGTCAAAGATAGATGGGGCAAAGTTTTTTTAAAAAATAGAAATGTTAAACCTTGGATATTATCCCCCAGGACATCCATGTTAGGACCTTTAAGATATTTTAAATTGCTTAGTAAATACATTATAGTAAATTGAATGTGTTTTGGGGACCAGTCAGACCTCTGTGGACACAAAAATCTGTTAAGAGTGGTTGCGTGCTTGGTTTCAAAAGGTCCTTTTCTAACATATTGATGTACAAGTGATTTCATCACTAGCGAGTTGGCTTTGACACGTACACATTAGGCACCAAATTAGAGTCACTCAGAATTTAAGGACGTAAGATTTTTAATACAAAAGTTCTAACACATAGTTGTGCTATTTTTCTTAAGGTTTTCCATCAGATGTTCCACCGTAATAATGCTGGTAAGTATAGAAGGACCGATAAAAATGATTGCAGACAAATTAGTTTGTGCATATATGACACTGTTGGCTTTTTAGAAGCATAGCTTAAAAAGCGTCAAGAACTGGGAAGGGTCAGAGATTTTACCGTTTGCACGCTAACAACAGCCTGTCAGTTTCGTAGATGACACAAGACTCCTAGGTCAGAGATGAATTACTCACAGTAGTAGCCAGAATTTCAGCGATTTTGCCTCAGCAACCCCCAGCCCTGGTTCTCATAAGATAATGCAAAATAAGCCGAAGCCACCTGGGTGTGGAGTGTCTTGCATTACAGGACAGGAACTTTGAGGTTAGGAAACCCAAGTCTTTATTATAGTGAAAAATACGCATGACTTTCAAGGCTGTTCACTATACAAATGTCCTGAGACAGTAGTCTGGAGCAAAGGGCAGTGAGTGTCTTCCTTGTAAGACATGCAGAACCAATACAGGGCCATGGAGAATTGTCTCCTAACAAAAATTCTCTGGAATTTTAACAGTTGGTTACAAAAAGTATCAAATCTCATAAGATTTGACGTCAGATATCATTAGACTTCAAACTCCAGGTTCCAACTCTATGCTATGGATCTTCACAACCAAGCTGATCCTGAGTTAATTATTTGTTCCTCTGTGCCCCCCCCCCCCCCCCCCCCCTTTTTTTTTTTTTTTTTTTTTTTTGGT